CACACCAGAAATGAATGTTGGCACGAAAACAAATCAACAGACCTTTGGAAGACCCCAGCTTTGGACCATTGAGCCTTTGAGATGAACATTTGACATTCTATTCCCAGTTCTATTCCCAAATTCAGGGAAGAACAAACATGCGATATCTGAGCTGGTTGAGGTTCTCCAATCCTTGCACTAAGCTTAGTGTACACTGTTCTCATTTCCAAATGCAACAGTTTTCTTTCGGTTGGGGAAAATGCACATTTTTAGAAGAGTGCACCCAAAGGGATACTTTCCCTCCATTCAATAACACTTGAAAATTGTGCATTTTTTGAAAATGTGCCCTTTTTGGATGGGCTTGCAAATTTGGAAATGTGTTAACATTTTCTCTGGAAATGTGCACAGGCTCACATTTGGGGCTTTGTGTGCAAGAATGAAACTTCTTGTGCATCCCTACTTACATTCATGGCAGTTCTGGTTTAAACTGACCATCAGATTTTGGATGATATGTAGATCATTCCATCTGCAAAGCCTTTATCTCTGCTCCCTTTGAAAAGATGGGGATCAAAAGCATATTCATTTGGTGGCAAAATTTCTGTGATTCCAAACAAATGAGGAAGTGGATTCATGAACCTAGGAAGAGCTCTGCTGGAGGTGCACACCAATGGTCTACTTGGTCCACCATTGGTCAACAGGAGCCCTCTAGATGCTTCCAGAGGTAGCTCAAAGAAGTGATCAAAGCCAGACTGCCTCCCATTAATACGTAGCCATGTGTAATTCTGAACAGGGGAAAAGCAACACAGATCTTGTGGAACCTTGAAAACTAGCGGATTTATTCCAGCATAACCTTCTGTCACCAGAGCCCTTGCCCTCAGGAGCATGGAACACCGGCCAGAATTCATGCACTGGGCGTGCAGGCCCCTTCTTGGCCTGAGGGTGGAATTGCATTTCAGGGAAACGTCCAGGGGCTACACTCCAGTGGTGGGTGTGGCCAAAGACAGATGGGGAGGGGCTAGAAGGAAAAAGCAGAGCCAGCTGGGAAATCCTGCATGGCTTTACGCAAGGACTAGACAAAAATTCGACAATCTTGCAATGGTTTATCTTTCATGGATGGATTTAACTGGAAGTCATGGAAAGTAAAGGCTCTTTTTGTATCTTGTAGAAATGAACTCCATGAGCCAAGTATGCATTGGGTGAAGGAGTAATCGGCTCTCCTGAACTGATGACTGTTGGCTGATTTCCCAGAGTATATTCAGTTATTGCTTTGCTTTCTGCAAACCATACACACTTTTATAACTCCTGTTCACATCCCCTGTTACTCTTTTTTTCTGCTGTGTTAAAAAGCCCTTGATGCTTAACCTTTCCTCCTAGGGAAATGGATTTGTCAAAACCTACCCAATTGCTTTTCAGGTTAGCTTTGTATTTGGTTTGAAACTCACAATAAAAAGCAAATAATTTAAGAATGCACCAGCATGTGGGGACACTGCTAAACCTGCAAAGTCATTAAAGGCCAGAAGGGATCCTATGAGTGTAGTCTAGAAAAATGTTTAAAAAACAAACCAGAAGAGGAGAAATGACTTCACTAGCAGAACAACCACATCAGATTGCCTGAGAGAAATTGCAAGCAAAACAGGAGGATTCTGGGTGGGCAAAGTGTCTTTGGGAATTTTGAAGGGCTTAAAAACATTGGGTTGGCACCAGATTTAAGCTGGATCTACTGTCCCGGCAGCAAGGGACTTCCTGGCCCCTTCCCACCCAGTGAGCATCCTACCCAGAAACTCAGGAATGAATGAAGAAAATCCCTAAAAAAAGGTTGGAGTGACTCTCCACAAACAATGCTGTATTCTTAGGGAAGTTAGATCCTAGATCCAACCTCTTCAGTGCAGTGACAGGAAGAGGTGACCTAAGTCTGCAGTTTTTGTCACCTTCACTGAAATACCATGGGGATTTGGAGGGTCCCATCCATCTGCAGGAATTCTGAGGGAAGCCAAGAAAGTTTCAGGATGATCTGCACGATTTCTCAGGGTGCGGTGAAGCGCATGTCCAACGTGTCTTCAGCGTGTCTCCAGAGCAGACTGCAGGCTCCATGCTCCAAACAGGGAGGCAACAAAGACGCACCCAAAAGCCCTCTTGCTGCGTATTTTCCAGTTTGTGACCTGTTAGCTGATTCGGAAACAGCAGGAGCTGTTTACAAAGTGGGTGCATTCCTGGGTAGATGATTCTAGCTGCAGATTTAGGGCACGTCGGAGAGCATACTTCCCATCACTGGCGCAACAGTTCCCAACACCTGCCAGGTGATGAGGTAGCTACAGGTGCGCGGGGCACTAGCACCTTATGAACTTACGCGTCCTGCTTTGGAGTCTCACTGCAGAATGACTGGGAACTTCAGCGCGGCTGTGCAGTCATGTCCCCTTGTGTGAGCTATTTGAGGAAACCCGCCTTCAAGAAGAGGCTTTTTCTTGTCTGAGGTCATGTTCCTCTCGTCCAGCTCTGCACACCTCTGAAAAATTGCAGTGGAAACCAGAGGGACATTCGCAATGTGCTTCACGATCGTCAACAGCTGAGGGAAAAAGTAGGGTGACAGATGTGCCAACTCGCAAGTGGGGTCTTCTCCCCCTTCACTGCTACAGCACGTTCCCTGTAACACTAAGCATGAAAAAACCCAGCACATCCCTGAGAAATGCTGATGCTCTACTCAAAACTCTTTTGGCCCATCTGTCTTCCTTAAAGAAGAGATTCAGAATATGTTTCAAGCAAAACCCGGGGGCATCCTGTGGCAGCCTTCCTTAGCTTGGCGCGCCCTCAGCGTGTTGTACAGCAATCTGCACCATCCCCAGCCAACATCGCTGGCTGACTGATGGGAATTGCAGTCAAACCCACCTGGAACGAGCCAGTCTGGGGAAGGCTGACTTAGGGTTTGGAGGAACTCCTTCCTGAAATCCCATTACCCTCCATTTATGTGGGGCAGGGGCTGGCCTTCCCTTGCTGGTCCCTGCAAGGGGTGGTGGCCATATATTGGCTTGGAATTTTGGTTCAAATGAAAGTTTAATGGCTGAAGGGCAGTGCTTACATCTGTATTCAGTTTTTAAAAAAACTCATCTTGATAAATTACTCATTAACAATAATGGAACATTCCCTCATATAATTAAAAAAGGGATGAAGCTGCAAGTGAAACTCACCTGTAAACAAGCCACTTGAAATATTTTGCTAAATGATAATTACAATGGAGGAAGTAGATTAATTAAAGCCAAGCATAAAGGCCTCTGAGAATGAAGCTTGCAAGCAAAGCAATTTTTTTTAATTCCACGCTATTTCATGTGTGATAAGTGCTTGCTCTGGAGCATGGGCTGCACTAGAGAAAGCTTTCTAGCTGCTAGGCAAACCAAGCCCATGCTGTTTCATGTTTGTTTCTTTGGGGGTTTTTTTCGTCAAGCCCATATATAAGAGAAAAGCTCTTGGTTTCAAATCAAAGGGACTCTCTTTCCTTCATCCTTTGCTCTTCCACTTGTTCACTGCTTCACTAGCACAGCTTGCTCAGCCTTTGAACAGCTGCCATGAACATAATTGGAGGTCCTCGATGCCTTGGTGGACGAAGGAGCTTTTCTTCAGTTTCCGTTATGGGTGGTCTTGGCGGAGGTCGAAGCTGTGGTATCCCATTGGGCCAACCAATGGGTAGGCCATGTGGGGCTGGTGGCTACTCCAGTATGAGCCTCAATAACTTTGGTGGTAGAAGCCGAAGAATTGCTTATGGCCAAAACTTTGGAAGACACATCTATGGTGCCAATTGTGGTCAAGGTCTAGGGGGTACAGGTATAAGTGCAGGAGGTCCAGGTATGGGCATCGGAGGTCCAGGTATGGGCATCGGAGGTCAAGGTATGGGCATCGGAGGTCAAGGTA